ACCCTGTCTGCCCAGAAACTCTCAACACTGTCCACATCCTGGACCTGGAGGCCTTCCGGAAGGTGTCCCCAGAGCTGAGAGACTCAGTCTTGCATGGCAGCACGGATAGTGGCTTTGGTAGTGGCAAGCCTTCACTGCAGACTGAAGAGTCCCAGTTTTTCCTCCCTGGCTCCCACCTCCAGGCACAAGGGACTCTGGGAAAGGAAGAGCTTCTGGAGCTACGGGACAGCTGTGGGGACAACACAGACAGTGGGATCTGCCTGCAGGAACCCAGCTTACATTCCAGCATGGGGCCCACCTGGAAGCAGCCGTTTGGATTCACCAGTCAGGGCCAGGAAGATAATGACATTAACTTAATCCAGAGTTCTCCAGGACAGCCTAAGAATACGCAGAGTGACTCTGCCTTGGACCATGTCCATATCCTAGAACCTGGAGTCTCTGAAGAGAAAGACCAAGTCACGGTGACATCCCAGGGCTACCAGAAACAGACCCAATGGAAGGAAGGGGCAGCAGACCCAGCAGGACACGTGAACAAAGAGCTTTCCTTGACAGATGACTTTGACCCTAAACTCAGGGTGTGCTTGCAGGCCGAGTTAACTTGGCCTCCACCAGTTCTGGCCAAGGGTTATTTGAAACAGGAATCCCAAGGGGTGACCCCGGCACCAGCAGGGACCCCGAATAAGCAATGGAGTCAGCTGACTGAAGAATGGTCACTCCTGGGTGTGGTTAGCTGTGATGACCTAAGCACGGAGGGCTGGAATTTTGCCCCTAAACTTGCCCCTCTGGACTATGGGGCAGCCCCTGGTGGCCTCCTGGATAGCTTTGACTCTAACCTGGCCACCCTGCCGCTGATCTCCAGCCTGCAGGTAGAGGAATGACATGGTCTTAAGGGCTCGTTGTATTCCAGCCATGCCTGCTCTCCTGCCTGCACTAGGAGGGCCCAGGGGGTCAAAGAAATGTGTGGGCCTTTTTCTACAAATCCACCAAGGCAAGCTAGCCAGGCCCCTCAGGGCAGGAAAAGGCCATCTTGCTGGGCAAGTGTCCGGTACATGTGAGGTTGTGTCTGATTCTGCTGAGATGGGCCCTGCAGGCTCCAGCCTAGCTGAGCAGGGTAGACAGAGACCTCACTCCTCAGGGCTGGGTTCTGTACTGGAAGAACCTGTGTTTGGGAGGAACCCCAGGGATTTCTAGATACGGTAAGGTTACCAGGCTGAAGTCAGAGCAGCCCGGAGGTCCACAGAGGAGTGGGAGTAGCCAGCCTCCTGCAAAGTACAGAGGGAATAGGAACCAGGCTTAATGTTGTCACGGAGAGATGAGCCCCGACTTAGACATGGTACCTGTAACTGGAAGATCTTGAGGTGCATGCCACCCCGAATGATCAGCCAGCTACTTCAGAACCATGGGGCTAAACGGACTGAGAGTCACAATCTGTGGCTCTTGTGGGGTGTCTCTACTATCCATCTGCAGACATCTCCCTGTTTTGACATCTGTGTCCCCCTGGCTTATCTTCAGTGGCCAAGCCATTACTCCTTGCCACTCACTATCGTGCTGACAGGCCAGACAAACTATGGTTGTCTGTGTTAGCACACTACCATTTATGTGGCCTTTGGGTGTAGACACTGGCCCAGCCTTAGGACTTAGATATCTGTATTTGCTGCTATTTTCTAACTACAGACCCAGAGAACAGGGTCCTGGGCTGGCATGACCTTGGTCCAGCAGCTTTCAGGGGACTAAAATAAGAGTGAATCGTTAGGAAGTCCCTCGTGCTGAATGTTAGACAAGTTGACCCGGGGGTGATATTTTCGATCTTGCCATCCTCTGGGCTAGGAGGAAGTAGACTGTGGAAACCATCTGCCCACAGGTATCTTCTGCCTCATGCCAAGGTCTCAGAGATCTTGCAGGAGCTTAGGCCCTTGTGCCAAGATAGCTGCTAGTAACTGGGGCTCAGGGCTGGTCCCACTTCCCTAGACTGTATTTGAGACCTGCGCTCAAACAAAGGCAGTTTGCATCCGCCAAGCAAGGATGCTGGAGAAAGGGCAAGGCTGCTGATCCCCTCACAGCGCCTATCCCTGAGCCCGGAGTTTCTCTGAAGCCTTCCGAAAACAGGCTGTGTGACCTTAGAGAGTCAGCCATGAGCTTGCCACTCTGCCAAGAAGGCCACGATGCCAGTCTGGTACCAGCGCTCCTTCTGAAGTTGGAAGGACTGCTTGGGATTGCTTGGGAACCTTTATTTATTTATTTTGCTCCCTTATTTATTGGAGAGGCGGCATAGCACAGGCGCAGGGCTCAGGGTCTCTCAGGAGCTCGAGTTTTGACTGCACTGTTTCTAGCTGTGTGACCTTGGGCAAGTCACAATTTCCTCTTTGTGCCTCAGTTCCTTTCTGTATGTAAAACTTGAAAAGTTCCCAACAAGCCCAATCTCTCGGACTGTGGAGTCCCACCGGGAAAATGGATGTGAATGCGCCCCCAACAGCGAGCGAATGGTGCTTGTTTTTAGTCCAATAAATGGGTGTTTTATGAAAACCATCAGATTCCTCATGGTAACGTCTGTGGACCTAGGCCCGCTCGGACAGACCTGGCTTCAGCATTAACTGTGACCTTGGGAAAGGCACGTGTTCTCTCACGGGTTCTGATTGCCCAAAGGTGACACGAGAGTGGCAGTTGTCATGGCTAAGACATGAGGTTGAAATGAGATCATGGATGAAAAGAGCTGACTGTGGTACCCCACATCTGGCATTCTATGGGTAAACATCTGTCAAGGGCTGTTAGAGCCAGAAAGGGAAGCAGACTGCTTTTCTTAGAAACCGATGAAAATGACAGAGGGGGTTTGGAGTGTTCTTTCAGAAGACTATATGGTGGAAAGTGCACCCCAGTGTTTGGGATGGGAGTTCTGACAGTGTGGGACTCCAGGACGGAGTGAGCCAGATCCGCAGACTCTGTGCCTGCTCACCTTACCCTGAAGATGTGCCTGGGTGATTCCCATAGGCTGGAAGCCTCCCGAGTTCTGTTCTAAAGGTGTTTTCCACAACAATCAGTATGTGGGTTGGCACAGCTCCCTGAACTCAGTCGTGTGGGTGCAGCAAATCTAGGGGCCTCGCCTGAGTCTTGGGTGTCTGTGTGTCTGAGATCATCAGGACACCAGGTCCTTTCCCACTATCTTCCATGAGCCCTCCCTGTTCACTTTGAGAAAGGAGGTCTTCTGGAGACACAGCAGTTTCCCTCTCCTGCAGAGAACCTGAACAGTGCCACACTGTGTGTGTGTGTGTGTGTGTGTGTGTGTGTGTGTGTGTGTGTGTGTGTGCAGCATGGGCTTACTTCTGCCTTGGGGACCTTCTGGCTGGGTCGGAAAAGAGAGGAGCAATGACCATTCTTTCCGGAAATGGTGCTGGGAATGGCTTCTTCCCCACGGACAAGCTCCTGAGGCAGGTGGGAAGGCGCCTGAGCACTGGATAGATAAAAGAGAAGAGAAATTATCATTGCGAGAAGCAGGCTTGCAGGACAGAACAGAGGCAGAGATGAGGTGTGAGTGTCAGCAGGCCTACAGATGTTAGTGGGAGAGTCATTTGGTTCCTTAGTGAAGCTAGGGCTTGTGGGGTGTCTAAAGGACTCTTCCAGGCAGCAGCTGATGGAATACTTCATTCAGGCTTCTCTGGAATTCAGATCAAAGTCCCCAGTAGAAGGCCACACTTGGTCTTCAGCTGAGCACTTCCTTCAAGGGCTTTTCCAGGCTGAGGAATGTGTGGTTCTGGGTTTCTGTGAGCTAACGGAACTTCCTCTTAGCAAAGAGAGAAGGGAAATGGGCTCACACTGACAGAGGAGGAAATTCTGTGAAACTGTGTTTTCCCAAATTCGTAAATAACTAGAGTCGAGAAATTGCCTTGCCCTTCCCCCTCCCCCGCCACAAATACCTCTGTCCTCCCCCCATATATACAGTGGCAGAACTTTCATCCCTCTGAGAGGTCAGGTCACACACACAGAGCCTACACTGCGCCTACAGAACGCTCAGCACCTCAAGAGGCTGGGTACCACCCACAGAGCCCGCACAGCAACTGCCTCACAGGCTGGCAATTCTCAGAGCCCGTCATGGGAAGAGAAGGGAGCCTGAGCTGTTGCTTGCCTGGGGCCACACAGAAACCTGAAGGGCATGTCCAGGCAGCCGGGTACCGATGCGATCGCCCCCACCGATAGGACACCAGATACTGAGAAGCCTGACTCACTCATTTCCTGCAGTGCTCATGGGTTTGAGGGTTTCTTTGAAGCCAACCCACAACTTAAAATTAAGTGTATTGCTATTAATGAGAAGGCCCATGGTGCCTCTCACTGACGGAGTGATATGAACTTTGTTGGATTTCCCATAAATCTCCAAACAGGCCTGGGACTCTGTAAACACTGATGAGAAAGGACTGAGTAGGATGGAATTCATGTTCGTAAAAGGTGACTCTGGCCAAAGCACAAGTCATTCAGCAAAGGGAACTGGGCAGAAAACAGGGAGACCTTTATTAAAACCAGCCATTTCACTTTGATGGCCTTTCTTGCCAGCCCAGCGTTCCATTCCTTTAGCAGTTACCTTCCACATGCCAGATGTGAGATTCAGCCTTCTCTCCATGGAGCTGATTATCTGGATATGAAGGGAAACGCCAAGCATTTGAGTACTAACAAGTATCACCATCTGTGATAAAGAAACCAGTGTCCTGCACCAGGGATGAGACAGGGAGTAGATAAGCAGGTGGGAAGCTGCCTTCGCTCTGGCTATGGGAGAGCACCTAGCAACGGGGAAGGGCTTTAACCAGAAGCATGCTGGCAACTGGGAAACTGAGGATCACTGTTCTAGCTCATCCAGCTCCCACTGAGGGCCTCTTCCTTGTCTACAGGTAACTTGGAGCTATACCACCCATGATGGAAATAGACTCGGGCCTCTAGCTCTTATGAATCCCATCATGAAGCTCCATCCCCATCACATTAGAGGTTAGGACTTCAATATTGAGGGGTGGGCAGGGACATCAACATTCAATCTATATGGGTGTGTGTGTGTGTGTGTGTGTGTGTGTGTGTGTGTGTGTGTGTGTGTTGAGCGAGGGCAATGGGAATTGAGAAGGAACAAATTCAGATGACACTACATAGAAAGCAAGATAGGACAACAGGCTGGGTAGAAAGAAAAAGAGTCAAGTGTTAAGTGCCACTTGAACCTGACAGAGAGCAGTGCATGGCATGGGTACAGAAGGGGAAACATGGTGTGGCCGGGGCAGAGATGTTGGGGACCTAGAAGATGCTGAGCTTCAGCTCAATAGTGGTATTTCATTCAGAGGAAAGATATTTAAGTAGCTCTCAGGATGGGCCTGGCACTGGATTAGGGCTTAGGACTGGGCATTTTGAGGGCAAGTGTTCTGTGTTCTCTGTGAGCCTTGCATTGTGGGTGAATCTGCTGTCGTGCCACAGGGATGAGAAGACAGGTCTGGAGAGGACTCCTGGCCATCTCCAGCCTGTGAACTCGGGCTATTCACCTAACTCGCTAGCTCTAGGAAGAGCGGGCAGCCATCCTATTGGCCTACAGTGTCTAGAACCATGCCTGAGCTCAGCATGTGCAGCTGCAGACCCCAGCCAGCAGCCTCGGGGATCTTCAGGCAGCCACAGCCCATAGCCAGAGGTGACATAACAGTCAAGCGTTCCCTGTAATGAATTATCCCACCCACAGAGTTGAGGGACTCTGGAGTGGGCATGAGCGGGGAAAGGCAGACACAGTGCCAGCTTCCTCCTTCCCCTCGTAAGCAGCTTTTTAAAGGAGCAGCCCCACTCACAGACTACACTCTACACACAGTATGCATGATGCCTGTGTGGGCCACACCGTACAGCCCTGCAGCCTCTGCGGGAACTCACCACCCCTCAACACAACAGATCCCATCTTTAGCCACTTTCCAGAATCCCCCCAAAGTGCATTCATGGAGGGCCCCAGCAACTCCTGCATCCACAGCTGCCAACCCACATTCATTTCTCCACTGCCTTCAGAGGGGTTAAAGTGGTTTACCCCTCACATCTCCAAATTGGAGTCACCACTTTCTTCTTAATTCTGATCATCTCTACTGGTTCTCAGAATTCAGAATGGTTAATACCAACCCCACACACACAGCCAAGGGGATCTTGCAGATTTTGCCTAATGGAAAAGGGACCATTATATGGTTCCTCAGCCTGGCCTCTTTGGTGGTCTTGCAGCCATCCCATCCTGCTTCTTCCATGCCTGTCCATCTGGAGTCTTCATCAGCCCTCTCTGGTACCACTTGCCATAGCCTCCTGGTCAGGGTTGTTTGTTGTTTTTGCTTTCCCTCCAGCATCCCTTGCCACTAAATAATCTCAGCTGTCTACTGAGCTGAGGGATTGAAAATGCACATTTGAGCTTTGAATTCTACTGGCCAACACGTAACACAGCACTCAAAAGCCTCTGCTCAGAAGCTTCTGCAGAACCACCCTCCTGGTTCCTGTCCCTACTGATTTCTTCCCTTTCACACCCTCACCGTTCCTCCCCTCCAGCCCTCATATCCACCTGCCTTCCCCCAACAAACTGTGTTGCTCATGCCTCTGGTCTTCTATTCATGCCAGTTCCTCAGCCCCAGAAGCTCTTCTTCCACTTTGCTGTTTCAAGGTTGCCCATGTGTCCTCTGCAAAGCAACCCCTGGGCCGCTCAGACCCTGAGTGTGCTTCCAACATGTGGCTTGTCACTACGGGGACACCCTGGGAAGATGAAATGGGAAGTGTGAAGTCTCACTTTTGGTGCCCTCCACACCTGCAGTGGTATGAGGCACCTCGTAGGTGCTGGGTGCACTCAGGTGTGTGATATAGTAACTACGCTAAGGGGAGGCAGGAAGGCTCAGACATGGAGTCCGTGTCAGGCCGTAGAAGATCTGAGCCCAGGATACAAGGCTAGCAAAAAGCCAGCATAGGTAATACAGTCACCGTTCTAGACCCTGGGATGGTGTGGAGTGTGGGAGGCAGGGCAAACACATGGTATGTCTTCACTCAGGCTGATCAACTACTACAGCAAGGTCCACTAAGACTAACCAGCTTCCTCAGCAAGGTCCACTAAGATTAACCAATGACCACAGCAAGACTATTGGGCTGGAGAGGCCCAAAGAGCATCCCCAAGGAAAGGAAAGACCACTTCCCTGGGTTCTAGGCATGATCTGTTCTTTGCAAATGAGTCTTTCTGGACCTGAGCCTTTTGGTCTGTCAAATGGGGATAGTCCTGAAGCTGACTATTTTCCTTAGTTCTCTGGGCCCACAACTTTCATGCAAGGTCCTTTAGCCAGCACTCATTCCAGCTCGCTGGCCGCAGGAACTCCTCTTGATTGATCTCTGAGCCCTCTACGCCCAGTCAATGGTAGTGCATAGTAATGAGTGCTCAATAAACTTTCGGTGCATAAATGAATGCATGAATGAGTAGAACTCTTCCATTCATGTCAAGGAAGCATTTGAATGCAGGTGGAGGCAGTTCAAGAAGCATCGAGATGATTATGATGGTCATGGAAGACTGAGAAAAGCAGGTGCTTGGGAGACGTTAGTCTGGACCTAGAAGAGAGAGAAAGAGAGAGAGAGAGAGAGAGAGAGAGAGAGAGAGAGTCATAGGTAACTCTGAGTGGAAGCTCCATTTCAGGTTTGCCATCCTCTCCTCTTAGTAACGTGATTCTATAATTATTCCCTTCCTGTTTTCTTCACCCTACTGGGTATTGTGGGACTTAGGACTGCAGACCAAACAGGAGACATAAAGTAAGTGAATACATCCAGGAGACAAGGCAAAGAGGCCTGCAAACATTCAGCATGCATTCACCCACTCTTTGGGCAAACATACATCAGGTACCCACCATGCCAAGCCTCCCTAGACTGTGACAGGCAGTTAGGCATGACCCTCCTGGCTGGCTCAATTCTGCATGCATGTGTATGCACACACACACACACACACACACAGAGAGAGAGAGAGAGAGAGAGAGAGAGAGAGAGAGAGAGAGAGAGAGAATGTCCATTCACCTCCCCACCACCACCCTCACCCCAGCTTGGTGGAACCAAAGTTACCCACTGGGAAATAACTTCACAGCTAGAAGAAGCCTCAAAGTTTTCAAAGCCAGTGGCAGCTTTACATAAACAAGGTCTCTGGAGCCCAGAGAACCTCAACCCAGTCTAGAAGGAGAACTGGGCTTAGAATAGAAACCGAGAGGAGACTTCTTCCATTGCTTACACACCCTTCTCCCAGCAGTCCTCTGCTGGTGTCTGAGAAATCCTAACCTAGGCTTTGGGAGGGAAAGCAGAGCCCATGGCTCTGCAAGAGACATTAAGGAGAGAAACGTACGGGAGAGCGGGAAGGGCAGGGTCCACCATGGCCTTGGCCTCCCGCACAGCCTCGCTTATTGTTTTGTTATTTTGCTGCTCCTCTGGGCAGACAGAACATTTTCACTTCTGGTCCCCAAGTGTGAGAACTCACCAGGCCACTGGCTTCCTGTTTTGTATCAGCTTTTGCTCAAACATCACCAATTCTAGCTGGGTTTTGCTCACTAAGCAGTTTTTAAAAATAATGATACTTCCATCTGCTCCTGTTTTGGCCTTCTCAAAGCCATGGAGCACTTAGGAAGGGGCACCATAGATTGTGGCCTTCTAGGTCCCGTCACCTACCTTATCTACCGACCCTGGCTTGGGGCAAGGCCATGCAGACTCATAGAAGACGGTATGGCTTTGCTCACTTGTTAGACTGTCCTGTGGTGGGAAAGCTCTCCCTCTGTGTGCTCCCTTCTCTAGAAATGTGTCTGATCACACACACAGGGCGGGATGTGGTTGAAGGCGGGCAGGAGAAGACAAGCGTAAGCTTTAAAAAGAGCACCAGGCTCGGAGCAGGCTTGGAGCAATGTGCGAGATGCCTTCGAGAGACCGAGGAATCCTTTCACCCCGTGTCCTGAGAAGTTCCTGCCTATGGCCAGAAGCACACAGAGCACAACAGGGGACCTGGAAGAGACTTAAAGCCTAACTCTGTTTGCAGGAAGTGCTTATGAAACAGGAGAGACCCAGTCCATCTCCAGAGAGACCGGATTGCCCATGGGGTCTAGCCCAGTAGCTGGAGGAGTAAAGAAACTTGGATGGATGGATGGATGGATGGATGGATGGATGGATTGAAATCATGAAGCTATGAGAGCCAGAGAGTATTTATAAGTAAAACCAGAAGAGAACAAGGCCTGTGAGTCTCGAAGAAGGCTCCAGGATCGTGTGAGACATGAGCCAGAAGGAAGAATGGGCAAAATGTGGTGATTTGAGAAATCAAAGACTAAAAAGGAAAAGGAAGACCAGGAGGTTGGTGAGTGAGAAGCTCAGAGCTGAGAACAATCCTGGGGAGGCCTGAGCCCTGAGAGCCCCAGCCATCACTGTGAGGAGTTAGTATCTCACTGGAGGGAGGAGCCAGTTTCTTGGAAGCTGGGCATCAGAGAGTAGCTACCCCTTGACCTGATGCTCCAAGCCAGCACCCCAGGATTTAAGCAAAGTAAATTCTACTCCACCTGAGTATCTATTTCCCCAGCCTCTGTTTCCCTACCTGTGAGGCTGAAGTAAGACCGGGTACCTGGAGCCCCTGTCCTGATCAATCTGTGCCCAACAAATGTGAGTATTTGCCTTTCAGACACTGACTAGTTTAGGATTGATCCAGGCTTCAATCCCACCTGATCTCTGCAAGACACGGGAAAAACTGGATAGTAGTTAGAGTCCCAGATGACTGGCATCTAGGGGAGCTCAGCAGTCACCTTTTAACAGCCAGCTCCTACATCTGAGCTGACACTTTATATAGTGATTGCATCCTTTAACCGTCTACTGGGCAGCGTTAGGGTGCCCAGGCCACTGGTTTAAGAGATTAGTTATTAATAGACAAGGGAAGAGTCAAGAGAACCTTCAAGAAAATAATCTTATCTTTTGCTTTCCCAGTGCTGAAATAGATGCCCAAATAAGTGTTGTGACCAGCCTTATGGCCACATAGCACCACGGGACAGAATTAGACCCAGATCCTTTTATACAATGGCCAGTCCTTACCCTGATCAGCCCTGAGGTGAGGCTGTGTCCCCGAGGCCACAGATTCTGCTCAGACTCCACTACAGCCAGTGAGTGCTGGACAGTCCTGGGCAAAGCATGCTACCTCTCGGACTCCCTCGGTCTTCCTATGTGTAAAATGGGCCAATAATAATCTCTGTGTCACAGGGTGGCCACAAGGCTCAAAATGCGAAGTATGGATGAAAATATACTGTGTAAGCCATCCCGTCATCCTCAGGTTGCTGGACATCCTTTTCCAGAATGAGGCAGCCCTCTGTTTCTTCTCCAACCAATTCTATTCCATAGTAAGCTGACTTACTCTGCTTCATTTGAAGGGTTGCTAGAGACCTCTGGCTACAAAGGGCTCATCCAGGTTGGGGAGGAAACCTGGCCATCGACAATAGAGACCAAAATGAATGATGTCTAGTCTTGAGTCCTGGGGTGAGTCTCAGGAAAGACGTGATGAGGGCCACAGAGTCTGGGTGTGGACAGGAGGGTTGGGGTGTGGGACAAGAGGACATTCTAGGCTGGCACAGTCCTGGGAAGAATATTGAAGAAGAGCAGGGAAACAGAAACTGTAGCCCACAGCACAGCAGGCTCTCCAGTGAGGCACAGAAAAAAAAAAAAAAGGGGAGGAGGCAGAAGGACTGGGGAGGCCCTGGCACGGTCAAGGATCTGACTGCCCCGTCAGTGCCCTGCCTCGCAGACCTGTTGCTTGGTTTCTAGTCCATTTCTGAGAAAGCTCGAATCTGCCCCTTCACAGCCTTCAACAAAGGGCTCCTAGGGCGGAGCCACTGTTCAGGACAAAGAAAACTGCTATGCCATGGACCTTCGGAAGTAAGGAGAGCAAGGGCACATAAAGGGAACACAGAGGGCGTCAGTAGGCTCAGAAAGAGGAAGCAGTTCTCTCTCATTTCTGCTTCTGGGCATGGGAAATACCCTCTGTTCTCCCAACCTTCAACAGCTGTCCTTGTCCTCACCTGAAGCTACAACACCTGGGCCCAGGACTACCTGGGGCTCCGGTTTAATCATCCTTTCAAGTTTCCAGAAGGTTTCTGAGTCCTGAGCATCTCTAGGGTACCCAATAGGCCCCACAGACCATGCCAACCATAACAGATATTGAGGCTGCATAGCCTGTGAGTTCAAAAGTGAGGTCCAGCCTACAGAGCCAATATCCAAGGCAGAGGGGAGCCAAAGACAACAGGCTCTCCTTTCTCCATCTCTCCCAGGAGTTCTTTGAGGAAGGGAGAGGATCCAAAGCCATGAAGGCTCCCTTTCTACATGTTTGGTGCATTATATCCTAAGCCCATCTGAGCTGGGAATAAAAGCCCCCCCCCCCAGCCTCTGGAAGGAAGCAGGAAGGACCTGCCAAGCCTGGTTCATTCCTTCCTCCACAGTCTGCTATAGGCCAGAGAGAGATTAGAGTAACAAAAAAAAAAAAAAAAAACACAGGAACTTCAGCAAAAAATGAAGATAAGGAGAGAAAATATGGTCAGAGCTCCCCTTCCTGCCTCTGTTCTGGTCTCAGCATCCTTTGGGCTTGAACTTGGGGCCAGTTGATCCAGTGGCAGGCTTGAGCAGCACAGGCCTCTTCAGCACAGGCAGCAACCACAGCTGTTCCGCATTCAGCCTCTCTGGATGGAACCACTTTATATGAAATGCCAACTGAGCCAAGTCTCCTAGCACCAGCTCCGCCTCTTCCAGTAGGTCACAGGCAGAGGAGGAAGTGATGACATGTTCTATAGTCCTTGTCCATAGCTGCTTTGTTCAGCCTCAGACAGCTGCCCACTGCTCCAGACCTCCATTGCTTTCTGCTACATGGGCTTCACACGGGACAGCAGAGACCCGGGGATAGACCCCACCCTGTGCCCCGTGCCCACCCCAGTTCAGGGGCCTAAACAGGGAAATGGTTTCTCATTGTTCTCGTCGCATGTAGTGGGCACTGAGGTCTGTCACTAGAGAGAGAACCAATCAGAGGGAGACAGCCATGGTGGGGAAGGGTGGAAAATGGCCAAACCAAACGTAGAGATTGAAAGGTCAAGATAAAGACCCAAGGTCAACCTTCAAGGAAGTTTGTCACTGATGGAAAAGTTAAAAACCAATTCTGAAATCATTCCTCCAACCACAGAACTCCCTAAAGAAAATGACTGGCTCTCCAGCCCCTGGTATCAACTTTACAGAATGAAATGGCAGGAGATTCCACATGACAACCTACTCTGTGGAGTCTGGGGGTCCTTTCCATTCTGGGCTGCATAAGAGAGGAGGAGGAGGGCAGGCTTGGCTATGATTCCTGAGACTCTCTCTCCTGGGGCACAGTTTCTTCTCCAAGTCCTCTGAGAAAACTGCTAGGGATAGTCAGGCCCATCCACAAAGGCCCAACTCCACGAGGGCTGTCAGAGGACCCAGAGAGGGCTCCTCATTCTCCATACTCAGGGTCAGGCAAGACTTTCTGGATCCAGGAAGACTGAAAGGAGCTCATGATGACTCAGGAGCCTTTTTCTGGCATAAGAGAAGAGACGCTAAAAAGAGAAGATGGCTTGAGAAGGGCTTTGCTATGCCATCACTCTTGCCTGGCTCTCCCAGGAAAGAGTAGAAGGACTGAGTGATGTGTTTGTGTTAGGAGTGGTCCTCTGTGCTGGGCTTGACAGCCTGGACCCTCTTAAGAGCTAATGTAGACATCAGACCCCACTGAGGAGTCTGCCCTCCTACTCACCTCTCCTGACCTCCAGAGGCTAGATGCATCTCTATCAGACTCTTTCATTGGAGAACTTCATGTAGCCGCCATCTGGACTGCTCATGTGGCCACTGATGGTGAAGGGTGGCCCCACTTCCAAGTCCTTCAGGTTCCTGAGACAGAGTTCCAATAAAGCGGTTTAAACTGAGAACTTGGCCTCTCCCTGGGGCCTGTCTCCCTAAACTAGAACTTACAGAGTGGTTCCTAGAAATAGGGCAATCATTAGGTCACTGACTCATTGACTTATCTTTCCAATGAAGACTCAGCTCATCTCTCAGGGCCAGAGGAGAAGCAGGCCTGGCCTATGGCAGAGAATAGGGAGATCATGTACCCCCAAGAGGTCTTCCTGATTTCTCTTCCTCAAATCCATGACTTCCTTTGATTGTTCTTCTTTTTTGAATCCCATACTGTGTCCAAGACTGTATTTTTTGCAATCAGGCTTGTCTCCAGCATTGACAATGAGATGCTTAGGGACAGAGACTATGCCAAGCCATCTTTGTAGTCTTGGAAATAAATACCATAAAACTTGCTATAATAAAACTTTTCTAAATTAATAATAAATAGATGGGCGGGTAAGTGAGTGGATGGATGGATAGACGAGTAGTGTGTAAGTGAAAATGGATGATACATACATGCTTGGATGAGTGCATTGATTTATATGTGCATCTATGAATGCAGAAGTACATGGATGAATGTATGGATTTTTGGATGAGTAGTGGGGGTTGACGGGTGGATAAGTAGAGTAGGTGCGTGATGCATAGATGAATTGGTAAGTAGTGGGGTGGGTTGTTGACTAAGGGCGTAGGTGGATAGGTTGACGGATGGCTAGCTGAATGGTAAGTGTATGGATGAATGAGTGGGTAAGCAAGTTTGTACATGAGTGGATGAGTGGATAGACTGATGAATGCATGGGTGGCGTGGTCTTTGCCTGAGAGTGAATGCTGAGATGATTGCTATCATCAGGGCCTCACCTGGTGCTGTCTGTAGGCATCTTTGACTCTGAGAACTTTTCTAAATTGGAGTATTTCTGGTTTACTTAGGAGAGAGCCAGGGAAGGGAAGCAGTAAGTTCCATTTCTGTCTCTTAATTCTTTTTTTTCATTATATTTAGCCCCCAGTGCTAGCCCACCCAGATCTGTCTTGGATGTACTCACCGGATCTGGTATAAGTTGAAGACAAAATTAGGCCCTGGGAAGACAAGCAGAAAAGAGAGTTAGGATCTCCAGGGGGAAGTGACTATCATCTCTCTGGGAACAGCCGGTGCTTCCTCCTCACCTGCCCAAAGGGTAAACAGGTTGACCTTGGGGTGTTGTGGGTGGGGGGGCTCTCAAGACCCTTCACAGTCCTTCCAACAGGAGCCCTGACTACCCTAGGAAGGAAGCACTTCTAGCCCCCCCTAACAACCAGACCTAGACTTCACCCCAGCTCCATGTTCCAACCCTGTAATTTTCACCACATATCCCTGTCTGCTTCACGGAAGCTGAGGGATGATAATGTCACTCAGTTGGGAGAGCACTTTTCTTGCATATGAAAAGCCCTGGGTTTCTTCCCCAAAATAGCTTAAACTAGGTGTGGTAGTGTACAGCTGCAAACCTAGCTTGTGGGAGGTGGAGGCAAGAAGATCAGAAGGTCAAGGTGTCCTTAGATGTACAGGTAATCCTAGGCCAGCCTGGGCTAGAGGCTAGCACAAAACAAAATGTAGGCTGCAATTGAACCTGATGGCGCTTGACTAAATTCCCAGAACTCACTAGTCTGAGTGAGGCAGGAAGATGGAGAGTTTGAGGAAAGCCTGGTATCCATATCAAGACCATATAAAAATAGGGGGAAAATATAATAACTTCTTCATGGTGTGGAATTATAAAAATACATACCAAGGGAAAGGGCATTGGGACATGGTAGATGCTCAATAGATGCACACTTCATGGACACAACACACAGACACGGGTGGGGAGTGAAGGGAATGACAGGGGACATGAGCAGACCCACAGACAGAGACTGGCACATAAGGAGCCAGCCTGTCACCCTGGCCTTCCAGGCATTGCCCTTGGTCTTGGGGAGTTCAGAAAAATAGAAGCTGGCTGCTTCCTCCAGTGGGAGGAGCCTCCATTCCCTCAATAAAGACCCTGCCTCCCCATCCAAGCCCCACCTCAGTTGCTCAGACAAATCTTCAACCACTGCAACCGCCAGAGGAAATATTTTTGCATTCCTCTCTGCTAAAAGGCTTGCCACCCCGCCCAACCTTGCCAGCTCATAATCTGCTCTGATGATCTACTGGTGAGGAAGGGCAAAGCAGAACTTGGCGCTGTTTGGTATGGGTGGGGCTCACTCACCATCCCAGCAGTACCCGCGCTGGTACCACTTGGCCAAGCTGTAGCCGAGGATGGACACAAGCAGCAGGGACAGTCCCACTCCGAGGATCATGCCCAGTGAGCTGATGGAGTCCTCACCTGCAGAGAAGCCATGCATCTTCACATACACTGCACCAAAGCCTAGCCCACCTTACAACTTCCCTCCTCTTTGTCCCACTGGGATCAAAGCAAGAGTCCTCCAGAAGCCTGCCAGGATAAGCTGGCTGCTTCAGCCCAACCTGCCATGGAGGGAATATCTGATACCTGAGTTTTGAAACTGCATTCATGTGATAGCTTCAGCATGTGGATGCAAAGGTGCAACACCCCTCTGGCAACGGATATTTCAGAATTGGGGGGAATTCCTGAAATCATGAGCATTCTACTTAATAGAAGATGCTCTGCCTTCTTGGAGAAGAGCCTAGAAGGCTAACCTCAGCATGATATTGGTGGCCAGGAGACCCCCAAGAACACAGTTCACAGGCTGCCAGGTCTCTTCTCCTTTCGCAAAGTCCATGTACCCAGTGTACCCAAAGAGCACTCTGCTTGCTCTTTGCTCTTGCTCCTCCTTCCCTTTTGTGGTCTGAATTCTCTGCTAAATTTATATATTATTTGTAAGGCTAAACCAAGAGCAGGAGACAAAGAGTGATTGGAAGTGCACAGGGAAATGAGAGGACCGAGCAGAAACAGAGGAGTGGTCAGGTTCTGAGACTGATGGTGGGTACACCACAAGACAGCTCATCTGTGCCAGGGCAGGGGAGGAAAGGCGAGCTGTTAAAACAGGATGGAGAAATTGAAGGACTCCCTGTGTCCATGGCCTGTGGGCAGAGGCTCTAGGGATGTCGCCACGAGTCTGGGAAGTGTGTTGGTTGAGCATAGACCTTGGGAGCAGGCTAGTGCTTGAAGTCCAGCACCATTGCCTATATAAGGTGGGCGCCCTTAGTCCCTTCACCCGTTTAGATTTCAGCAGTTCTGATGGATTATTATTATGGATTACAGTATACAAAATGCACAGTTATTGGAACAATTATTGGGAATGTCAGGAAAAGAGGACACTTAGGATCAGGCCTGGCACACACCATGTGCTCAATAGATATTAATGATATTGTCATTGTTGTCATCATTATCATCATCAGATCCATCGAATATGCAAGTGTTATCAATCTAGCATTTCACGGTTTGCTACCCAAGCCACTTTCCCGAGCTCCTTGATCGTTCTTCCCAGTAAAATAGCCAGGTTAAAACCAGATATGGCACCACTTAGGGGGCAGAGACAGGTGGGTCTCTGTGAGTTGAAGGCAAGACTGGTCTATATACTGAGTTCTAGACCTGCCAGAGGTACATAATGAGAACTTGTCAAAACAAGAAAAGACGGGTTATTATTCTCCACTCCTGAAGACGAAATGACTGTCAAATGCAGAAAGGAGGGGGGTCTCGCCTTCTATTCGGAAGTTTCAGAAGCTCAGATCCACAGAGAAAGGGAAGATAGCCACAGTATGGGCAGGAAGTGAGAGCCAGACTGGCCCTCTGTCTATATTAGAAAAGAATCCATAGTCTCGGGAAAAATCAGGAAATAAAAGAAAAGTAGTTTACAAGGATGTCAGTGAGTCCCAAAAATTTTGCTTTTTACCCAAAAATCGAATCCCAAAGAGACAGTAGGATTCCCAGATAGGATTGTGGGAAGCCAGAGCTAGGCAGAGCTACAAGAAGACAGAGCCCACTTAAGAATAGTGCCTGCGTAAATGGAGTCTCAGACAGCCTTAGAGGGCTGCTGTGCCCGGTCATAGCCTGGGACAGTCAACAGCTCATTATCACCAAGAGAGGCAGCGAAGTCATAGATTCCCTGCAGACCTGAAGAAGCCACATAGAGGGGCCTCAGGACACCTCTGCAATACCGTGCCTAACTGATGCTCAAACCCATCGCCATGTAGATCACCATGGGTGCTGGTGGGAGTTGGTGACACCAGGAACTCTTGTTTTGTTTCGTGTTTTGTTTTTTGAGACAGGGTTTCTCTGTGCAACAGCCCTGGTTGTCCTGGAACTAGCTCGTGTAGACCAGGTTGGCCTCGAACTCACAGAGATCTGCCCGTCTCTGCCTCCCGAGTACTGGGATTAAAGGTGTGTGCCACAACTGCTTGGCGACACCAGGGACTCTTCATTACTCTTCCCAGACCCCTTCAATCCCTTAGAACAAGTTGGGAACAGGAATTTCCAATGCTACTGAAGAGTCTGCCATCTGAGAAAATTAAGATTAAAATTAGACATTAGATTCTAGGAACAACAGAGTCACATTTCTGGCACACATGAATTTGTCAACTAGCATTTTTGCCTGCTGCTAATGGCCAGATAGTAAAGATTACAAATGTCTCAAAAGGGATTAGCAACCATACAGAAAGGCTCGGTGGAGTGGGCTTGTGCTCTTCGGTACTTCTGCAAATGTGTTAGGGCATATCATCCACTGCCGACCCTCTTGAAGCAGAAAACAGCCCTTTTCAGACACCAAACCTTGTGCCATCTTATCTTGAATATCCCTGCCTTCAAAACCATAAGCAACAAATTCCCACTCCTAACAAATTAGCCAGTGTCAGATACCAAAGGACTACAGTGGACAGAAAAACCTGTAGAAAAACACTGAACTAGAAGTGGCCTCAGTGGGGACAAGTACACAATCGGAGAGCCATGAGTAAACCTGTGCTAGCCCAAGACGTTTCTAGTCATCCCACAAGGAGTGGATGGCATCTTTCCTGCACAGCTACAAGCTTTATAGAAATAAATAGAAGAGACGGAACTCCATACCCTCATGGAGGAAACATTCCAATGGAAGGAGACTGCCAATGAGAGAAAGAAGAAAGAAAGAAAGAAAGAAAGAAAGAAAGAAAGAAAGAAAGAAAGAAAGAAAGAAAGAAAGAAAGAAAGGTAGGTGAGACAGTGGTGCACACCAGGGCAAGCACACAGAGCAGAAGAACTAGAAAGCCCTGTGGGGGTGGAGGGGAGAGTTTGAATAATGTGCTCAGGGAAGCCTCAGAAAGGAGGAGTGGACGAGCAGAGGTCCAATGGATGTGAGAGAGAAAAAAATGCCAGGTAGACATCAAGAGTAAAAAATTCCTCGACAGAGGAAGCAACAAGTTCCAAGAGAACTGTGGCACTCTGGTGAGCAGTGCAGGAACGGAGTGGGTGGTGGGAGCCGTGTTATAGTGCTTTAGACTCAAAGAGGGGAGCCCAAACTTCTCCCTGAGCAAACTGTGTGGTCAGTACAGGACTCTGAGCAGAGGCCATCTAAAGACAAAAGACCAAAAGCAAAAACAAAATTCCTACACTTAGGCATCCAAGACACAACTAATTAGAACCTGGTCCCAGTGATACATGGTGTCAAAATATTCAGAGCCTGATCCTAAGGACCCACAGTGCACTGCGGAAAGGGCCAGTCTTGAGAAGGACAGCCTTCACTTTAAACTGTACTGCTTAACAAGCTAGTGAGATGCCTGCCTATGTAAGCAGATATAGACGGTTCACAAATGGCCTATGAAACAAGACCAGATAACCATCCTCCCCCCATCTACTATAGAGAAAATCTTTCTCCCTCTTGGCAATATGCTCCCTGCCCCCAGAACTTACACACTGCCTTCTACCAGTATATTCCAATAAGTTCTCACTATCTGTTATAGTGAGTACATATATCTCACTATATGTACTGTGTTAATTATTTTTAGCACTCACATCGCCGGACTTTCTAAACACTGTGTCATGTGATGGAGGACATGATTGACAGAGGGCTAACCCCAACTGTGAATAAAGATAGAAAGGGGTGACACCGGAGAAGGACAGTCAGGAAGCTTCTGCAGAAGCTCAGACAAGTGGTAAACACCAGAGGAAACCCAAACCGGTAACCAAGGTCAACACAAAAACAAGGTCATTGTCCTAGGTTGCTTTCTGTTGCTGTGATAGAAGACTCTGACCAAAAGAATTTTAGGTGAGTAAAGGTATTTGACTTTTACTTCCAGGTCACAGTTTATCACTGAAGGACGTTAGGACAGGCACTCAAGCAGAAACCATGAAGGAATGCTGTGTAAGAGCTCATTCGCAGATTCTGCTTAGCTTTCTTAGACACCCCAGGTCTAGGGATGCTTCCGCCCACAGTAGGCTGGTCCCACCCACATCAATCGTCAAGCAAGACAATCTCTCATTGATATGGCCACAATCCAATCTGATCTGGGAGGTCCCCCCTATTGAGTCACCCACAGATGACTCTGGGCTGTTATCAGGGTGACAGGTGAAGCAAACTAGCACCGTCACCTATGAGAGAGAGGACAGAGATTCCAGAAGCTCTTTAATAGCTAAAGGCTGGTGACAAGAGCAGAGGGACAGGAGGGCCACCCTTCATGCGTGAGTAGCACTAGCGGTGACTGTTGAAGCGGGAGTTTGAAGGGTTTTATCAAAGAAAGGTGGCCAGAAATAGAAAACACTAGAAGGAAAGCATGAATAGGGTAGTCACCTGCCTGAGTTCGGAGGCGAGGGAAAGAGGCTGCAGGTCTGTCTATGCCTCCTTTGCCCCGCCCCCGTTTGTGCCTTCTGAGCTTGCGCGCAGAAACACTAATTACTCTGATTTACTCTCTCAGTTTTTCCAGTCTGCTCACTTAATAGACATTCCTTCCTTAGTCTCCTCTTTATACCCTTAAATTTTTACCGTAAACTATTCCTGCTATAGCCATACAGAACGGCACGGTAAGCAACACTGCGCTAACTTCTAATCGCCAAAGATCATAAAATCTCGCCATTCTTGCTTATCTAATAAGCAAGCACAGAGCATAACTGGTCAATGGGCAAGGAGAACAAGGCCTGTGAGGGCTCAGCCCTCAGTGGGATGTCTTTATCAGCCCCCTCAGTCAGCCAGCTGAAGAGAAAGGCTGTCTTCCGGGTAGGGTGTGGCTGTTGGTCTCATAAATTCATAGCAGCTGTGGTCACCTACACACGACCTGGGCGGGAACCAAGGCAGCCAAAGTTGTAGTGAGGATGGGGAAGGGTCTCCCCAGGTCCCACTCATAACTGAGGAGCTGCTTGCAGTTGGTAGTTGCTGGAGAAGGAAAACCTGTTCTCCTGTGGGGATGTGGACACTGGTGGGTC